CAGGCCGGGGCGGGGAGCGGAGGGGGAGGCCCGGCAGCCGGTCTGCCCTCAGCCGGGACCCCTGGGCGGCTCCGAGCTGGCTCCGGGCGGCTGCCGTGCCCGGTCGGAGCTCTGCGGAGAGCGGCTCTTACGGCCCGGGCGGACGGGGAGGTCTCCCGCCCGGTGGCGGCGAGGCTTTTCGGCTGAGGTTTGCGAAGGAGAGCTTCTCTCGGCTGCCCGCGCGGCTTTGTGAGGGTCGCTGCTGCGCAGCCATCGCTGTCGGAGGGAGCTGGCGAAGGCGCGGAGCAGCGCAGCAGCCGCGGGGCCGGGGGCTCCGCGTCCAGTGCCCGCCGCTGCTGGGGCCGGGAGGGCTCCGTCCCGCTTGAGGAGGGCTAGGCACGGGCTGAAACTGCAGGTCCGGGTGAATGGCAGCAGCACAGTGGGAGGACAAAGAGAAAAGGGTCGGAGAAATGCGGCATTCTTCTCCGCCAGTGGCGACAGGCTGGCTTGGGTGAGAGGGTGGAAAGACAGCAGCGCTGGCGATGGGGGGTGTGTGTGTGGGGGGGGGTGTGTGTGCAGGTGGCCGTCATGTTCCCAGGCAGACATGTCCTGAAAAACATCGGAGTCTGAGGAAGAGAGAGAGACTCGCAATAGAGCTATAGAAATGCTTGCTGGGGGGGGCAGGGGGGGAAGCCCTTGTGAAAGAGTCATAGGAAAATACATAACTCTTGTAACTGTAGTAAGCAAAAACTAGCAATGCTGCTGAAAGAAGGCGAGTTAGAAGCTTTGGCTGAGAAGGAGCTATCCCAATTAAACTAACATGTTCTTTCCTAATGCATGAGAGGTTGCTCAGAATAGACTGGATGTTTCTTAACCCTGAAGAAACCCTCTCTAGCTTCTGCTGAGCTCCAACGGGTTTGCACTATTATTCATGGGTTTTGTTGCCGTGGAGGTCAGAGGAGCAAATCTTACAGAACTCAAATTCCCTTTTTTTGGGAATTGCAGCAATTCCAGTAGCATCTCGAAGCATGGGCTCTGTAGGAGGAAGCACTGACGAGGGAGTCATACGTGAATGCCCTTCTCTTGTTTGCATGCCCCTCATTTGACAACACAAAAATGGGAGTCATTCTTGAGGGCCAGAGGGCGTGATCTTGGGTGAACAGCAATCTGCCTGCTGCCAGTTAGTTTTAGGTGCGTCATTCAGGTAGCAGCTGGTAACTACGTCCCAAGTTTTCCTTCTCACGGGACTTCTACTGGCTCTCAAGGCATTGGCTGTCTCCATCTGACAGTGGCTCTAATGAAGTTTTTCTTGCTCAGGAGTATCACAGGGCCAGGTTCAGTAGTTGTGGACTGTGAAGGCCTCGGTGTGCAATTTGGCATTACCATGGAGCGAAGTTCAGTGATACTAAAAGGATGCAGCTTCCTGGCTGCCGGTTCTTGCATCTCTCTCTCTGCCAATATGTGTGCCTGTCTCACCCTGCAGTGGAGCAAAACCAGTTCTGGGACCTATTCCAGTAAGAAAATAAAATCCTTCAGCAGAACTGGCTTTTTGGTGCTTTAGCTTTCAGGGCTGGTCACAGCAGGGTCAAAGAAGAGCCCGAGGAGGAAGGAAGTGGGGCCACTTTTTTTAGCAACAGTTAGCCATTGCCTTGGTTTTCTTGTGTCATCAGCGGATGCTTTGGCATGAGGTACTTAGGTGTAATTCTACTTCCATCTTACTTTAGTTGCATTTGATTGGTCATGAGTATAGAGAGAAGCCATGTAAAGTCGCAGTTACCATATAAAATCATACAGATGTGCCTGTTCCATCTATAGAGGGGAGACCAGATGAGCAGTGTATAGTGCTGGATACGTCTTGCTATCAGTGCTGCTGTGGTTTGGATCAAGTTCCAGTATGTGATGGCAGGAGAGACTGGGGACACCCCTCTTGTCTTTACTGGCAGCCCCTCAGTAAATTAGTGCAGCTGTACTATCATTTAGCTCCTTAAGGGTGGTGCTTTCCATGCTTGTTAAAAGCTTGGACTGTCTTCTGGCTTTGAGATCCCTTTCTCTGCTCTCTTCTGGGGTTGGTTTTCTTCACAGGCACTCCTGACCAAACAAACACTTAAACTCCTTACTGGAGTTGCCGGGTCGTTCAGATTCCAGAACAGACTCACAAATCTTATTTTGGGTGGTGCTTTCACTGTGAAACAGGTGATATGTTACCAACTCACTTCTTCGTTTATCTCTACTGGCTTTTACAATTATCTTAAACCAGGGCTGGGAACTCTGCCCAACAGTTTAAATGAGGTCTGGTGGAACTTCAGATTATGGCATTGTGAACCAACCACTCCTCTGTGAGTGAAGGATTAAATACAATCATGTTAGTATTTAGATTTTTCTGTTAAAAAGGGGAGTGTTCACACTCTATGTTTTTGTATAATTGCACAGGACCTCCCATCTGTGCAAGATGCATGGGTTAATACCTCCTGATCTTTAATATGTTCAGCCTTGCAGTGGCTCTTTCAGGTAGGAAAGTACTTCTTCCATATTCGCAGGAGGAAGGTTGTGTTAGAGACAGAAAAACAACCCCCGAGATCCTTGAAGAAACTTAGACATTGACTTCACTGTGATCTCAAGTTGGAGGTGAGATTTTAAGCTTCAGTTTTAACTGACCTGTTCCTTGGCCTGTAAGAAACCTGTTCCGAAGCAGCAAAACAAATAGAAATCCCCTGAATTCATGTGTAGTCTGCTGTTGGACCATCCTTTCAGCGTGTCTCTGGATTTTAAAAACAGAGAAAGAAACTGTTGTCCAGATTAGGGGAAGGAAAAATCACCACATATTGGCCTATTAGGCTTGAAGTGTTTAATTATTAGTATGCTCTGATACACCGTATGTCTTCACTTGTTAATGCTGCTGGATGCCCGGTCACATATGCCCAACCTCCCTGTAGAAGTGGACACCATCTTCAGTACCTTCTCTCTGTTTTGCAAGATCTGCTGTGAAGCCCTTGCATAAGCTCGTGGGCAGGAGTAACACTGGTGATTAACGGGATTTGCTCACTTCCTGACCAGGCGCGGTCCTGACTTCCGTATTCTCATAGTCCTTTATATCTGCACGTCTTTCCAAAGAGCTGCTCCTTTTCTAGCCATGTGCCAGTATTTTCTCGAGCTGTGAGGGTTAAAATAATGTTTAGACTTAATTTTATACACAGTTTCCAGCCCTGTGTGCATGGCTTTCTACAAATACGCAGTAATAGGAAACTGCTATTTGAAAGCTGTTGGTGGCAAAGAGCTGTATCAGTTTGCTAGCTGATCTGCTGCTAGCATCTGTCCCTTTTGTCTGTTTGTCCTTTCCAGCAGCTTTCCGCAGCCAAAGTCTGCCTTCTCTTTTAAGTATTGATGAGGGGTTTATGTGGTCTGTTTCTTGAAAGCTAAAAGCTGTGAGGTACAAAACCTGCTCCTTTCAGGTAAAGAAGACCCAAATGCTAAGATCTAGAAAAAAGTGTTGGGAACCTTTTCTTCACGGGATGCAGAGTAAGATGCTCCTGTACAATAGCACAGAAGAAGGGGAGATAGCAGTCTGACTACGCACCGTAGCTGCGTTCCTGATTTTGCCAGTGTTTCTCTACCCAGGTCTGTCCATAAATGCTCCTGCTCCCCTTTGTGCGCCGCGGTGACCCTGGCATCTCCCCTCGCTCCACTGCACTCGTCGCGTTGCTTGGTGCTCCCACGGACACAAAACCCTTCACCTTCAGGGACCTTGGTTTGGCACGGTGGAGCCCGCCGCCCCGACGCTGTATGGTGTTACCCCAGCAGTACACTGGGGAGCCACGGGGGGCACTGGGGAACGAGGGGGCTGGGCAGGCCCACCCTGACCCACGCCAGCCCCCGTGAGCCGAGTGGGGCAGCCCTGGGGCGCGGTGGGCTCAGGCAGGAGCCCCACACGAGACCTGGCCACGGAGGTGACGCAGCTCTGGGGTCAGTCTGTGGGGCAGGGTCTGGGTTGATGGGGTACAGGGCCAGACGTGGGCATGGCTGTAATGTCAGGGCAAGAGCCTCACCTCAAAAGCCCTCTCCACGTTTCTCAGCTCCCTCCCGGTTCCTTGCCTGCAACCCGGCTGCCTCGTACAGCGCTTTCTCCTCTGCTGAGCAATTCCATCTTCTGTCCTGCCTCACGGGTCAGGGTTTCTGGGTCAGCGGTGCTTGCTGTTGCCATCTCCAATTGCTGGCGATGTCCTGCGTAGCTGCTGCTCCCCAGTGTCTCCTGTGCTGGGCTAAAGGGCTGTGGCAGAGCGGGGAGGAAGGTGCGGAGCAGGGTGACGTGGGGAGGATGAACCTGCGATGAGGAAGCGAAGGGGCTACGGTCCACCGTGAAGGAGGGATGGAGGTTCAGAAAAAGAACATGACGGGTGGGCTTCAAATTACCACAAGGCTTTCTGAGTGGGGAAGCAGGTTACAGCTCCCACATCACTGGGGTGCTGTACTCTGCGGCTGGGAGTGCTGGCCAGCTGTACAATACCTAGTGCTGGGGCTTTGCGGTATGTTCTGCTGTTGTGTCTGTCAGGTGCATGTAAATCTCACCACTTTATTCATGAAATAGGCATAGACATCTCAGGAAGACACCAGGCTGTAGTGTGTTACTCTTGCTTATGAAGCTTCTTGAAGAAATCAAGATCATTTGAGGTTCTTGCAAGGACACGCAGAGTCTTATATTTCAATAAATAGTCTAAATACTAGCAACAGCTTTTCATAAAGTTAAGAAGAAAATTAATCTTCCTGGGGCTCTTTGGGTAACCTCGGGTGTCCCTGAGCAGGTGAGGACTGTGGGGCTGAGGAGCAGATATCCACCGGAGGGTCCTCCTGCCCTGCACCCCGTACCTTGGTGGCCTCGCTGCAGAGGTGCTGCTCCCACCTGCAGAGGTGCTGCTCCCACCTGCAGAGGTGCTGCTCCCACCTGCAGAGCTCCCTGGCAGGCTCTGGGAAAGCTGCGAGTCAGCGATGACGTTGCCCCTTCAGCCCTGTATTTGTTTGAGCAGTTCAGCCCTGTGTTCGTTTGAGCAGGCAGTCACGATTTCAATAGTGGAAATCTCTGCTCTTGGATCGGGTAGCTAAATTCTCTACACGAATGCCATGTGGAGTGCGAATAGGAGTGCATGATGATCCTGATACGCACTGGTTGAGTGAAGTGCAAATAGCATATTATCATGAAGTGCGCAGAAGTAAACAGAATCAAATGCATTATCTCTTGGTGTTTCATATGTACAGTATTAGTATTGAGGGAAGCCTTAATAAGCAATAAACTTAGATTCAGATTGTGTAAAAAGTCAAGGCATTTTAAATGTGCTTTAAACTGTGGTACCTGGTGTACCCTTTGGAAAGGCCACCGTGTTTCCCCCTTAGGCTGTGATTGTGGGAATGGCTTCATACAAACTGACCCGCAACTGCTTCCGTACAATCTGTAGCACAGCGGCAGAACCAAAAAGCTCCAAATGTGAGTCCTTTGTCCACCTTTCTGCCGCAGGCTGTCTTATTCCAAGGATGTCTAGAGATCGCTCTTGACCATAACTCTCACAGCGCATAGGAAGAGATGTTCTGAATTGTTACTATTTACTGTCCTTGGCAAATGTGCTAAACTTGCAAGAGCAAAGGGGTGAAAGCAGAAGGGACAGTGCAGAGCAGTGCTGTGTATGGTCTTTGGACTGAAAGACGCTGCACGCTTTACTTTGACAATTTGCGTAGTCTGTAGATCTGGTTTTTTCCTAGTTTGTTCTTGATGAAAACTTTGCAAGCTCTAATTTTCCATTGTGATTGTAAGGAAGGAAATGCTTATCTGTAGCTGCTCTGAAACACAGTAACTGGGAACTGATTTATGTAAACTTTCAGGAGCTTTTTTTTCTTTGGTTATACTTAAGGGTGCCTTAACACCAAATGTATTTGATGGGAATTACGCCCACTGGTTATTCTAAATTCCCTTAGCTCTAGATTCAAGCTTAATGTATTTAATTTTGGTGCACCAAATGTTACTTAAAGCCTACCTTGACAATTCTCCTTTGATACTAGTTTGAGATTTTAAGACTTCGTATACTTTCTTGTGACTTATGTTTCCCGTGGCTTTTAGAGGAAAAGCTATAGGTGCACCCCCCAAAAACCTTGTCATGGCTTTCCGAGAAAAACAAAAGCAAGGGCTAAAACCTGTCGGCAGAGAGGAATGGAATTATGGCTTTGACCATCTCCACGAAGCAGAAGCAAAAAGACTCTGGCTCTTTAATAAATGTTAATCTGGGAAAACATCCTGGACTCAATGTTAGGGAGCATATTTAACAAAGCATTTAAAACCAGCACTTTACCTGACCCATGTAGAAACTTCTAAAAGTTCTAAACTTCTATGTCATCTTCAGTGAATTGCAGCTCTGTCTGCCTTGTGGAAACACTTGAATGGCATGCTCTGTGCCTTGTTGAGCCAACAGTATATTGCTTCAGCCATGGTTAACTCGCCATCAGGGCTGAAATAGAAGGAGGTATCTGGCAGCATGTGAAGGACACTTTGTGGGATGGATGTTGTGATTGATGCTGGGCTGTGGCACACTGTCCTGCACAGAAAGTACTATACTAAAGGTACTTTAAAATAACAAACAAGTTTCTTACTTGGCATGTGCACCACAGTAAATGAACTCGACAGATCTGTCCCCTGCCCCATGGAAAGTGCAGCCTGGTTTCTGTGAGGGAGGACCTGGCTCTTGACTTTTGCTGCTGTGATACCTGTTTGCTGCTGAGTCATCTCTGCATTGTCCCAGAAAGGTTTTAAGCGCCTCTTCCTGACAGGGTCAGAAAACTCCCTTGCTCAGAGCTTATTAATGTTTGCTTTGCTTTTTAGACACAAAGCACCTCTGAAGTAAAAACATGAGTGAATTTTGAACAAACGCAGCTGCATGTTTGCATTGGTGTGGCAGTCATTTCTGTGCTTGTGGTCACTTCCTCTTGCTTTGTTTCATTAATCAAAATTACTGGATGAGACTTCAGTGGTGTATCGCCATCAGCTGTCTTGTAGCTTCAGATAAGACTTCAGCAGATGTGATAGGAGGAAATGGAGCTTTTGCTCTAGCTCTAGAGGTGCTTGCACCACCCTTGAAGGAGCCTGTGATTTCCCTGGTGCTTTCACTTTGTTGCTGAAACAGCTGTTGTAATCTACTGCACCTATTTACTGTCTGAGATATTTCTCTACTGTTCAGCCACTGAGTATTGTTAAAAGAAATCAGACTGGGACATTGCTATTTCCTTGCTGTTCATAAGGGAGAAGTGTTGAGGGAGCAGTAGTGCTCTCTTAACTACTCTCCCTCAGATTTGTGCTTCAGTCAAGCTGTTCTGTGGAAGCTAAACTATCAGAAAAGCTTCATATTTATTTTGTAGGTGGAATTTTCTGCCTCAGATACCTGAGGGAATCCCCCTTTTGGCAGAAACTTCTCCTTAGGTTGGTTTAGCTGCAACACAAAGCCTTGGTTTCTGGAGAAGAATGTATGGGCGGGTGGCAGTGCTGGGATGTCCTTGCTCTCCTGCTTAACTGGTAGATGGTCATTTGGCATGTGCTAAGGAGACGTTTAGGGTAAGCTGTTGACAGGCTTGAGCAAATAATAAAATGAGCTCTCTGGATTGTGAAGCCATCAGTAAATTGTTGGCAAGCCGTTTGCATTGCAAGTAGGTAAATGATGATGCGTCACTTAGGGTTGCTCATTTTCTTTGTTTGTTTAAAGAATTTCTGCAGAATTGTACAGGGAGCTTTTGGAAGCAGATGTTACCACAAAGGGAAATTAAATACATGAGTCATTCAGGAGGTTAGTAACCTTGGCCACCTAACCTGTTTTGTAACCAGTTTTGTTTGCACTAGGTAGTTAAGAACTGTTCACCAGTTGGTAATCCAACATCCAAACCCAGATTTCACCCTTACAGGGGAAAAAAAAAAAGCTAGGGACTTCTCTGTATTTAAATGTTACAAGGTACTCTCTATTAGGTGTAACTGGCAGGGTTTGGGGAGCCGGGGGCTGCAGGCGTGACCTGTGTGGAAAGGGGCCATGAGCTGCCCTGCGCCAGTTCCAGGTCATTCCAACCAGCTCCAGAACAGACAAAACCAGCCCACTGCACACCAAAACTGCAACTGGTGAGAGCAGCACACGGTGCCTCTGCTTGAATGTCTTTCAGAAAGGGTGGTAGCTGCTAGGGACAGGACGCACATGGGAGGAGGTGCATGAGGAGACACAGAAGGGCACAAGTGAGGACACAAATATGCAAGGACACACGTGAGGATGCAAAAAAGGAGACACGAGGAGTCACAGAAAAGGCCATGAAAAGGTGACATGAGGCAGGAGGTACCAAAGAACATGGGTGAGGATAAATAAAAGGAGACACAAAAGCAAAGATGTGAGGAGACACGGGAGGAGATATTAGAGGAGTTACAAGAGGATGTGCAATAGGAGATATGAGGAGATATGTGAAGAGATGTGTCTGGAGTAAAGGGAGGAAGAAGTGGAGGGCACATGGGGAAGGGTTGGGAACATGGTTGGATACCTGGCTGGAGATGCTCTCTTGGAAGGAAGCGCTGCGTGCTGGAGGAGGTACCCTTGAGGGACAGCCACCCTTGCCGGGGCAGGGACACCCCTGAGGATCTGTGGTCTGTGGAGGACCCACGCTGGGACAGGGACACCCCGGAGGGACTGTGGCCCATGAAGAACCTGTGCCGGGACAGGTACGCACCAAGAGACTGCAGGCTGTGGAGGACCAGTGCTGGAGCAGAGGAGCAGTAAGAAGCAAGGAGCAGCCACAAGAAACGGTTACGCACTGACCCATAGCCTCCTGTGCCGCCTGTTGCCTCACTGAAGGAATTGAGACAGACTGAGTGTAACCCACAGTGATAACGAGGGAAGTTGAGACTAGGAAGGGGGGAGGAGAGGTGTTGGACTGAAGATGAGCCTGGGGAAGGAGGAGGAGAGGAGGAAAGGTGTTTCCCAAAGTGCTTGTTTAATTGTTGGTTGGTTGTCTCACCCCCCCCCCCCCCCGCCCCAGTACCGGAATCAGTAATTAAAAGCTTATGTTAATTTGTAATAAATTAAATAAAGTGAAATTTCCCAAGGCAAGAATGTTTTTTGCCTGTGGCAGTATATTCATTATGCTGGGATGTGAAGTGGTTTAGCAGTGACATGGCCAAACAGTACAAACCCCATGTGGGTGTAACCTGGGTAGAGTCTCCCTTCTCCATGTGCGCGGCTGGCATACCCCTGTATCGCTGCCTCTGTGCTTTGGCATTTTACCAAGTACAGCTTTCTAGAGAAGGGCCAGCATCAGCCAGTTGCAGGCATTCACAGGTGGTGATCTTTGAACAAGTTGAGTAGGCAAAAGCCATAGAATAGATGCAGTTTTGTTTGCAAACCCTTATATTCAGGCTGAAAAAGATTCATTGTGGGCAGAGCTGGAGTAAACTTTTGCCATCGATGTGCTCTTTCTGCAGGGTGGAGTTGCATAGCCATCTCTTTTTTCCCCCACCCCCAACTCTTTGCTGGTGCAGTACTGCTAGCCTAGTAGTAAATATACCGTGTACTTCAGGTGTAATGTTAAAAAAAAAAAAAAAATCAGTCCCTCGCTCCTCTTCCTTCCAAATGTGAGTGGAGTGTTTAGAATAGAGAGAAAAGGGAGAGAAGAGGGGGAGGGAAGATGGCAGGGTCTTGCCATTTCTTGCAACTATATGGGAAGAAAGACTCTTAATGTGTGAAGGAAAGCAGAGGGTACGGAGGGGAAAGGCAGCTCACCGTGACGTGGCTGTTCCCAGGCAGGCCAGTGCCTGGTGCTACCAGCTGGATGATGTGTCATTGTCTACAGGTAGAGTAGAAATGCTCCAAAGCAGGCTCTCTGAGAGACTGAACATGTGTTGAAAAATCATAGCATGATATGGCTTTTGTTCAAATGGAGGAAAAAAAATTGAGAGAGAAAAAAATCTCAGAGGAGATTTTTCTTTTTTTTTCCAACTGAAGAACGATTAATCTGAAATGGAAAATTCTGTTCTGTTATTAAGCTGATCCGTACCTATCTGTAGCAGGCATAATGTAATTCTCTATTACATTCTGCACATTTTTGGTTTGTCTCACAAAACTTCTATATTTACTATTGGATTGTATTGATTTTACTTCTTTTAAATTATGCAAACTTTTACCAAAAGGGAAACAGGGATTAAAACAGAGAAGACACTAAAATATTTTGCATCTTTCAGACTTTTTTTTTTTTTAAAAGAGTATATTCCTTATGAAACCTTACTGTTCTTTTTTCTTTACTAAGAGCCTGGCACCCCTTTGACTATGCAGGCTTTGAGGAAGGCATTGGCACACTGATGACAGTGCCCTTCAATTAGACTGTGCATTGATACACCTTATTTCAGACCATTAAAAACTGTTGGACTTTCTGGGAGAGAAACTCAGCTCTACTCTTCCATCTGCTGCAACATATCTCTTTATGGTTAAATCTACACTTTGGACTTCAGAGATCTAAACTTGGGGGCTGGCCAGGACAGTCACAGTAGGCTTGTAAAAGCAGAAATAGCACTGTGTATCCCAGCTCAAATGCCTGACAGGAGGGAATATAGGTGTCCCCCTACACTTGAGCATACTGCTAGAGAAGGTCTGGCGCTGTGGGTAGAATAGGTGGGAAAAGAGGAGAATGTGTCCTTTAAAGACAACTGCTGTACTGAAGGCTTAACAGTCATGTTCGATTCTCTTTCACAAAGTGTGGTTTTAAATGCTGAAAGAAGGGAAAAACCTAATTTTTTTTTTTTTTTCAGTGGAGGAAAGTGTTAAGTACTTTAAGTCTAGAGGCTTAAACATAAAATTAAGAGCATAGCCAAGAACAGAGGTGCCGTGCAAAGGAACATAATAAAGACTACCATGTTGTGGAGCTCTGTAGCAAATATGGGACACAGGGTGGTTATTGAGGAATAAATGGAAGGGAAACAGATGCCCTTCTGTGATTCTGGGAGCTGAGACCTCTTGACAGGAACAGATGATAGCACTGGGGTTTTAGATGAATTCTCAGTGTTGGGGAAGGCTGGCAGGTGGCTCTCCTCTGGGGAAATGAAACACCTCAGAAGCAGCTGTTCTGCTCACTGTCAGGTTTCAGGATCATTAGTATGGCAGCAAACCGGAGGACAAAAGAGAATCTAAAATCCCAGTATCTAGAATTCTTCTTGTACGTTTGATTTAAAAATAATGGGCTGATGAAGATAAAATGGAATACATGCTGTACATCCTTACAAGTGGCAAGCACAGTGTGCATCCAGGGAAGCAAGGGACAGTCTTGGTTTGTGATAAATGGAGAGGTTTGACCATACTTTGTCTTTGAAGGAGAGTTATCTTTGCGAGAGGACAATATATCGTACCAGATCCAAAAGCCCAAGAGAGGTGAGACTGCTGCTGCTCCATGTCCAGACAGTAGTGAGGCTGAAGATGTATTCAGCAGACACAGGCACACAAAGCACACATATAGACTACATAAGTATGTACATATACATGGCTGGCTACACAGATCACAGGCAGACACTCAGAGCGCCCAAGTGGACGTAGGCAGCACCAGCAGCCTCATCCTGCTCCCCTCTCTGGCTGGCCAGGATGGGAGTCCACAAGTGAGAATATACACAGACATACATACAAGGTGGATCCCTCCAGCAGCTGGGCTTAGACACTCAGCCCAGTAGCTGCCCCTAGATCCCAGTCTCCCCAGTTGCTGGCACCTGGACATACAAATCGCCAGGGCGACAGCCCTATGCCAGTTGCTGGTACAAACTGTCACACACATGCAACTGGCCAGGACTTTCCATGTCCCGTAGCTGCCCCCTCTGTGCTCTCGCCCTCAGAGACACGCGGGTGCTCTCACACCCAGAGCTGGCCCTCAGGGACCCGCGCGCCCTCCTGGCTCCCAGGCCACTTTGCATACTCATAGGCAGGTCCGCTTGATCTCTGCTACCCATCGCACACTTGCATGCCCGCAGGGGCTCCGGTTGCTGGTACCGCGGACACGTGGGCCCTCTGACCAGTGGTCTGACCCCAGTTGCTGCGTCCACAGCCCGATACGCACACGTGCACACAGGATCAAAAGCCCTCACCCACGAAAGAGTCGGAATTTAGCAAGAAGACAACGGAGGCTGTGCTGATCAGTCACAGGGCACAGCCAGAAAGCGTACTGACCAGCAAGCTATTTACCTGTGTCTGGCCCTTGTTATCCCCTTACACTTCTATTTTCCCACTCCTGTTCCTCCCAAAATCACCTAAACCCCTCCCTTGCCCCACCTTTGGTTCCTTTACTAAATATCTCGTAATAAGTCCTGTGCAATTCCAAACTGTTCTTCCCCTGCACACCGTAGTATGTCCCGCCCCGAGGCAGTGACCCCCTTAGTCCGAAGGGTGATCTGGAAAGCTGCTTCTGGTGACCCTGGTGATGGGTTTCACGGCTGGACACTGGGACAGCCGTGGGAGGACCCCAGACAAGGTGCTGGTTCCCCTCCAGTCCTTGATCTGGGATCCCACCTGCCATTGTGCTCCTGTGCTCCTCTGGGCTTGGGCAGATGGGCCTTTGGTGGGCTGATGGCCCCTGTGACGGGCCTGGGAGTTGCCCCGCACAGTATGTTTGGGGTCCCCCTCCTGCCATTGTCCCTCTGAGCTTTTTGTGCATGTGCAGATGAGCTTTGTCACGTAACCTCACAACCTGAACGTGGGCTGTGGTTTCTAATGGGGCCCCGTGGGCACTGTGGCAGCACGAAGAAGCCAGGATGCTTTTTTAAAGACGACCTAAAGGCATAATTCAAGCATGCCAGCATGAAGGAGAGTTCAGCATGTGGCTCTGCCATAGTACTGTCCTGAGACTCGTGGGTCTGTTGCCTTCCCTATCAATTTTTTCTTCTTTCCTCCCCTTCAGATCACGACGGTTGTCTTGGGAGAGCAGGCTCTGACGGGAGCGAGAATGCTCAGGATGCCCAACTGCCTGCTAAAACTGACCAGGGTGGTGCTGAGCCACAAGCTCAGGGCTCTGTTTATCCTCGCCTTTAAGTTCATGTCCTTTGCCTCCATCATATTATACTGGAGAATCGCGGAGCACCCTAAGGGCAGAGGCCAGCTCTACAGCTTGCCTGCTGAAATCCTCTGTGCTCACTCTGTGCCTTCTCCTCCCCATCCCGCTGTTGGTGGGCCCCCTCCTTCCCCAGGGGACGTGTTTTTTGTGGAGACCTCGGAGCGAACTAACCCCAGTTACCTGTTCATGTGCTCCGTGGAGTCAGCGGCCCGGACGCACCCTGAGACAAGGGTCGTGGTGCTCATGAAAGGTTTGGCAAGTGGTAACACCTCATTACCCAGCCACTGGGGCTTCTCGTTGCTGAGCTGCTTCCCCAACGTGGAAGTCCGGCCCCTGGACTTGACAGAGCTTTTCTCTGGCACACCTCTGGCAAACTGGTACTTGCAGGCTCAGCAGCGCTGGGAGCCTTATTTCTTACCCGTCCTGTCTGACGCCTGCAGAATTGCCATCATGTGGAAATTTGGTGGCATCTACCTGGACACAGACTTCATTGTGCTTAAGAACTTAAAGAACCTCACCAATGTGCTTGGTACCCAGTCCAAGTACGTTCTGAACGGAGCCTTTTTGTCCTTTAAGCCCAAACACAAGTTCATGGAGCTTTGCATGCAGGACTTTGTGGATAACTACAACAGCTGGATCTGGGGGCACCAGGGCCCACAGCTCCTAACACGTGTCTTCAAGAAGTGGTGCTCCATCAGGAGTCTTCGGAGCAGTACGAGCTGCAAAGGAGTGCGTGCTCTGCCCCGTGAGGCTTTTTATCCCATTCGGTGGCAGGACTGGAAGAAATACTTTGAAGTGGTCAACTCTTCAGAGCTTCACCAACTCTTTAATAACACCTATGCAGTGCATGTATGGAACAAGAAGAGCCAAGGGACCAGGCTGGAGATCACATCCCAGGCTTTGCTGGCTCAGCTACATTCTCACTTCTGCCCTGCCACGTATGATATCATGAAGAAGGACTCTGAACGGCAGTGACTCAGGGGTCAGCTAAGAGATGTTGCCTGGGAGCCCACAAGTCTCCAGCTGTTCCATCGCAAATGAACCTTCTTTTGAAGTGAGGTGGTGTGAGTTGAGGACGAAATTCATTTGTGGGTCGTAGATGGAGCCTGTAGCTTCAGCTGATGTCTGTGCAGCTCTTTGTCTTGACTTTAGCTCCCTACCAGCAACGTTTTGTTTCTCTGCAGGACCTTTCTTCTGCTCTGCTTGGTCGGGTAGAGAAATCTCAAGAGGGGAGCAAGTGCTGGGCCACTTGTGGCAGCCTCCATCAGCCTTTCAGAGGAGTAAGGCCCCTTTCTATGACTGTAAACCTTGAAGAGGCCTTCACAGAAATGCATATCTCATCACCTGATTCTCAGGGCTTCTGAAGTGCAGTCCTCAAAGCAACAAAAGGATGGGAGAGCAAAGAACAGGAACTGAGGAGGAAGTTAAGGATGTGCTAGAGGAGGTGTCCTGCGAAAAACATAGAGGAAAACAGAGAAGAAAGGAAGGGCTAAAGCAACTTCTTTTTCTTTTCATTCCCTTCTCTTCTGAAGCCTTTGGTGGAGGAGACTTTCTCATGTCTGGTTTCAGGAGGGAGCAGGATGCTGCAGTCTCTGTTCAATGTCATAGATCTAAAGATGTGGAAATTTGGTGTGAATCCGAACATGAGGATCAGAGGCCAGCTCATCGTTTAGAAGGAGCTTTTGCACAGCAATGATTTATTTTATAGTAGTGGCAAATTAACACCCTACAATGAGCAGGAGAGCTCATCCAAATCACACCTCACATTGCACCTGACGCAGGAAGAGCTGAACTATCTTTTACACTGAGTTTGTCTCTGTGACCAAATATCCATAACTGCGTCTAAGATGCACCAGATCTTTCAGCACTTGGATGGATCCTAAAGGAAAGTCATGGTATTTCCAAGTATTTCCAAGGTTACAGAGAGCTTGGTAGGGAACCTGTACTGTCTAAATTCAAGTCCATTTATGAGTCATTTATGGTGGACCTCTTCAAGTAGCCTGGAGTACTCCTGCAATTCACTGTCCAGGAGTACAAATCTTTCCTGGGAGGTCTTGAGGAGGGCAGTGGAAAGCTTTACCCTGAGCATCTTCCTGAATTGCATTGGAGAAAGTTAACGTATCTCTTGCAAGGTGCTGTTGTGCCTTTGAGGGTTCCTACCACGGAGGCAAGTTTGTTGGACAAACTGTGGGAGAAAACTCGTCCCTTGCCTTGATGCCCAAAAGGATGTATTTATGCTCTTACAGTTCTTGTTGGAAAATGATGGAGAAAGAGCAGCGAGAAACAAGAATGGTTGAGATGGTCGAGACCATCAGCATTGTTGCATTTGGTTCCCACTACAATCTAAAGGGGATTGCTGAGGCACATGAGCTTGGCACTATGATAGAGTTAATGCAGATGCGCAGAGCATTGGCCTTCTCCTCTCCTACACTACTAAGAGATTATGATCTCGCTGTAAAATCTTTTCTGCCTCCAGTGTGCCTCCTCTTCTTATGCTTGGGAACAGCAGTGGGGTGGTCCAATGGTCCCTCTGATGACCACAACTTGGTCAGATCTTCAATGTCACCTTGCCCCAAAGCAACAGCTCTTTCACACGATGCTTCCTGCAAGTCCTCTGAGTGTGACTCAAATGATTTCTAGATCTGCAGTTGTCTGAGGCCTCTTCTGTTTCCTAGGGCAGCCATAAGCAGTGTGAGGTTTGCTCAGTTCAGCCAAGGCAGTGGTCAAAAATGTAGAAGACTGTGCATAAATTTATCTGTCTCGGGTTTATTTGTCTCTGATGATAAAAATAAGAAAGACATATTGCCTATCACTTTTACAGTTCCCTGTCCCTCAGGGACATGGCCGTGGGAGGTTGAGGAGGGTGTGCCCTTTTTTTTTTTTTTTTTTTTGTTTGTGGAGGCCAGTGCTGCTTTGATTGAAGGGTACCTGCCTGTGAGTTGGGCAGGGTGTGAGGTCTGTGCACAAGTAGCTACTCTGGAGTGAAGAAGGTGCTGGAAACACCCCTGCAGCAGCTGGCACCACATGCGTGTATGTTTGTAGTTCTGCCCCTCTGTTTGGCTCAGCTTTATGGTATATCCCGGAGGCATTCAGGATTTTGAATGTCTGCAGCTCTCCCAACAGTGAACATCTTTAAGAGCAAAGACTTTGTGGGGAAACAGCAGATCCTCCTGACTGTATAAGCATTCTTCAACACACTAAGTGGTATAAATGGATGTTCTTTTCACTCCCTACTCTTAGTATCACTACTCTGTGGGGTTTTTTTCACTGCTTTCTTTAGAAGCAGCCGCAAAATTGTCAGCCCTGGCCTAGTGTGTGGTCAGTGAGGCATGGTTTCTCCTACTGGTTCCTTCTGTTTTGGGCCCTTTGGGCTAAACAACAGAAATCCTGGTGAGCTAGGAGCCCCTGTCAGAGATGGTAAAATTGTGGTTGGTGATCATAAAGGCATCACAGGGGACTCCGCTGTGGCAATATCGTGAACTGATTATGGGATTGTTTGGGACCCATTGCAATGAGTATCTGGCTTAATGTACCACTACTTATTCTAGGAAAGTGCCTTTTTGGGTAAGTGGAGTGATTTTTTTGTTGTTGTTTTTCTTTGTTTTTTTGTCAATGTTCCAAGGTTTGATAAGGAGAGAATCAAACCAAAGCAGCCTTTGGCCTTTTTCCCTTTGTCTTGTGAAAGAAAAATAAATACAGTTTTTACTATTACTTCTCTCTGCCAAGATGTTCCATTTTGTTCTGCAAGGCGTTGGTGGTAGGTCTGAGCAATCTGTTAGTTATGCAGAAAAGCATTTTAAAGTTGTGTCCTGAAATGACTCACTAAAATTAGGAGTGTGGAATGAACATGAGACAAGTTGAACATAAGCACATGTGGAAAGAAGGCTCTGCGGACCATGACTACATGCCATTTTGGGACTTGACCAGAGGAAACAGAGGAAAGCACAATGTGTGGTACTGATTCCTTATCCAACCAGGTATCACCCGATCATTCATGACCTGCAATCTATCTGAAGCAAGGCATTTTAGTCTCACTCTGAAGGTCTGGATGTTATGGAATAGGAAACTCCATGAGAAATTGTGTTGCTTTTTCCCTGGGTGATGGGCTACAGCGTCCCTTAGTAGTGACAGTGTCTGTGCTCGTGTAGACCTAAAAGTAGAAAGCTTGTGCTGCAGGCATTCATTTTCCCACCTGCCTTTCAGAGCCTGATGTAAAGACCCTGGAGTCCAGGGGAGCATTTGAGAGGCTGTGAAAGGACGGTGGAGTCTGGTGTGCAGAGGAGTTTTATTGTGACACCTTGAGTCAAGAGCCAGGGAAACAGTTTTCCCTTAAGATGTAAAATAGTTGCTTTCTTCGTTGCTTGTATGCAGTCAAGATGATGGGAAGCGGTGAGAAGGCACTAACTGTTTCTTGCCCCGTCTCCTTTGTCCTTGAGCTCATGAAGGTTAGCGGGTACACAGGTGTGCAGTACATCAAGAAGAGAAGCTGGGGTGGGGGTTGGAGATGCAAAATTGGACAGTGCAACAGAAGAGGAGTAAGGAAGGATCAGTAGGGTAACCCCGGATCCGGACTCCTGGGAAGAGACTGAATTATGATTACTTTCTCTGTACTGGCTGCGAGTTCTCCTAGGCCAGGAGCTCTTGTGTTGGGGGGATCTGGGATGCGCAGGAAGTAGTAATGCTCTGTAGGGCTCTTTTTCCCCTGTTCTGCTCCTCCCTGTTTCTTCTCCCAAAATGTGTAGTCCAGGAAGGCTGTGGTGCAAAGTAAGTTAAGAGCCCTTCCTGCAGGGCGGACAGTGCAGCTACCTGCCTCAATCTTATATATGATGGGAGCTGAGGTCTGCCTAGGGCTGGCTGGTCCTCAGTAGGAGAGAAGAGGAAAAACAAAGCTCTCCACATGCTCTGTTTGGATATGCCATTTGCGAACACTGGCACTCTGGTCTTTCATGTGTACTTCGGCTTCAACTGTCTCAAGTATGTGTGACCATTCCCTGCGTGCGTTTGTGTTGTTGTCTCTCTGGTATCTTCTTTGCTACCGTGCCTGGAACTCAGATGAATAGGCACAGTCCCAAAGAGAAAACTACAGGAGGAAGTGATTTCAGCTGCACCCTGCTATTACAGCTCAAGCTGAGATCTTGACCTTTAAATTTGTGTATAATGATGGAGCCAAATAGCAGCTGCCATGGCTCTGCACTATGTTGGTAGAGGTATGAGAAGTAAGAAAGTACTCTTCACATAGTGGAATCTAAGTCCAGGGGGAAAATTACATAGGCGCATAAAGTCTGGCAAGTTAAATATGAAAACACCATAAGGCTATAGAAAACATTGTTTGAGAAACAATTTCCAAAAGATATTAAAGCTACCAATGTTGTTATTCTTTTTTTCCAACTGCAGAAGGAACAGGAAGCCCACTAGAGAGGCGCAAGGTCAGGAGGAGATGAGAGATTGAAAGGGAGTTCAGAGGTCAGTTTGAAGCAAACCAAAATTAATTTCTGCATCTGGCTACAGGTACGAGGAACTTGGGGATGTTTCTCTACACTGTAATCCTTCCTTGTGGGGGATGCATGCCACAGTCTCTTGTGCATCACATGTCCATGGAACACACGTCAGGAGTGAATGAACAGACAGATAATGGGAGCCAATGGGCTGCATCCATGAGCACTGTGGGAGCTGGCTGATGTCATTGTGAGGCCTCTCTTTGTCATGCTTGAAAGGTTATAGAGATTGGGGGAAGTGGAGGGAAGCAAAAGTCACTCCTATCTTGCTTATCTTCAAGACATGCAAGGAAGAGAATCCAGGGAACTATAGGCCAGTCAGTGTAACCTTGAACACTGGGAAGGTGATGGAGCAAATCCTCCTGGAAGTGATCTGCAAATGTGTTAAGGACAAGAAGGTGATTAGGAGTAACCGGCATGGGTTTACAAAGGGGAAATCATACCTGGCCAAACTGATAGCCTTCTATGAGGAAATGACCAGCTCAGTGGACGGGGGAAGAGCATCGAATATTGTTTATTGCAACTTTAGTAAGGCTTTTGACACAGTCTCCATAACAGCCTTGTAGATGTACTGATGAAACATGGACTGCATAAATGCAGTGAGGTGGACTGAAAACTGGCTGAACTTCTGGACTTGAAGGATTGTAATGAGTGACACAAAGTCCAGGTGGAGAGCAGTAACTAGTGGTATACTCCAAGGGTCTGCGCTGGGGCCGGTACTGTTTAATGTCTTTATTAATGACCTTGATGGTGGGATGGAAGCAACCTCGACAAGTTTGCGGCTGATGCAAAACCGGGAGGAGTGGTTGATACACAAGGTGGTTGAGCTGCCTTTCAGAGTGACCTCAACAAGCTGGAGAAACGAGCCAACAGGAATCTCATGAAGTTCAACAAAGAGAGATGCAACTGGTGAGGGATAACTCCATGCACGTGTGGGCAAGGAGCTGACCGGGAGCCAGCAGTGTGCGCTTTTGGCAAAGAAGGTCTGCAGCCTGCTGGGCTGTGTGATGTCACGCATTACCTGCAGGGTCAAGGGAAGCAATCCTTCCCCTCTGCTCAGTGCTGGTGAAACGCGTCTGGGGTGCTGTGCCCAGTCCTGGGCTCCCCAGTTGGCTCAGGGGTTAGAGCTTGCATGCGCTGTTCTGGAGCACCGCTGCACTATCTCTGAGCTTGCCCAGCGAGCAACTTCCATTGTGGCTGTAGCTAACAGCACTGGTAATGTTAGAAGAACGCTTCTCTGTTATGAAGTCATATGCCACCGTTCTCAAATAGCACTATCACTGGGTGCAAGCTGATCCTGTCAAAGGGTTACTGTCTGAGAAAATAACAGCTCCTGCTAGCGTTTTTTTTTACAATTGATGAAGCTACTGAGCAAGCTCACTTAACTGAAATTGAACATGCCTGGTTTTTTGGAACCTGTTACAGCTCTATCTTAATTCATTCAATAAATTCCCTATTCTGTCTAAATGTAATAGCATTACTGACCATTTTCCACTAATCTTAGACTACTGCTTATTGTATTTAGGGAGGATGAAGCTGAATTGAAGCTTAATGATGTCGCCATGACTGGCTATGTGATTTTCTGTTTGTGGCCATTACTTACATACCTCATTGGTTCTCTGTGTTGCAAATAACAGACAGTCTGTATAATTTTTTCTGGATAACTTCAGCGAGATGCCAAACTTCAGCGAGATGCCATCACATCTATGCCTGCTTTCTGCACAGTGATTTGGGAATCAACAGCTATAAAAATTGCCATATCATTTCTCCCCACAATCTGTTTATTTTTTGCAGAAACTTGCTGATATCATCCTCTGACTCTTTGCTGTGGCTTGCTTTTAATTCATCTTACCCCATGGAGTGTCTATCCAGCACTACATACCCACTACAAGTGGGTATTTTCACTGTTCTTTCCTTTTTTTTCTGGAGAAAACTTGGTTCTAAAAAATATGTAAGTGAAATTGGGTATTGGAGGGTTCACTCTGGAAAGGTGAAGTTGTGATTAAGTACAAAGGATGCAGTTAAGAGGCAGGTGCCTTAAGCCTCCTCTGTCTATAGCTGCAATATCTTATGGCTTGGTCTAATATACCCATTACAATGACAATATTCTCATCTCGCCTCAAATATTCGCTCGTGCTTGGTCTGCTATTCTCTCTGGGGTCAGAAGGAGGAGCTCTAAAACTGTTGCTAAAATGCTAAATACTAATTTCCCCTAAATACTGGGGGAATTAGCAGGTGGATTCATCCGTGCTTGGCACCGCTCTGCTCTTCTATGCCTAACAGACCGATTAGTGACCCACTGAATGTTGGTATTGTTAAACTTCCCTCTTCTACTCTTGATGGTAATGTAAATCTGGAGAAAATGGAGATCTTCAGCTGTTTTCTGGTGGGTCCCCAAAATACTCCTAGGCTGCTTGTGATCAGTGATATTGTTCAAGACCCCTAGCAACTACCTGGGTATGCAACAGCACTCTGCTGGACCTTTTTCCTCTCTGTTTTTGTTATTGAATTTGTAGCAAATTTACACATCCCCTCCACTGTTTTTCTGTTCATATGTCCACACGCTTACTTGAAGGGACATCACTAAACTCAAGAGTACTTGGTTCATTCTTCTAAAGACAACTGGGACTGGTGCAATCAATTCTTCCACGGTTGATCAGGGCTGTTTTGCTGTGTTTCTACTTGATGTACCATAAACGTAGCTTTTGAATAGTTTAATGGCACAAGGTAGTTGAAGTTGCACTAAAATTATGCAACAAGACAAGCAATGGTAAGACAAAGAAAGAAGGGAAGGTATACCACGGAGTACTTTCATTTAGCCTGTGAAGCTAGATTTGGATGTTCATGACACATTCTGGCCAATCTCAGCTGTACAAAATTCTCCAGCCCAGCCCCAGTCTTGATGCCTCTAGCACTGGGTCCCATGCTAAAAGCTGCAACTCTCTCCTGTGCTTCCCCAGCAGTGCCTGCCTTAAACCCAGAAGGCTATTTTTAATGCATAGAACTGCAGGAATGATAGTGGAATTGGCCATGAGAGGGCATAGCTGTTGCTTTAAAATGGGTATGAAAGGGACCATCCAAAGCATCTTGCTCGGTTTAAGGTAAAAAAACATCTCTGACCAGTCTCTGTTGTAAATCTGTACTTAAGCATGTTCTGAGGGACATCAAAGAATTACATTCTCGATCTGTTTTAGTTAATAACAGAGGTAGATGTAGGTTATGTTTCTCTTACAGGTTCCCTTCTTCAGGGATGAGTGTGAGAGCCACCTTGTGTTTTCTGTCACTGCTGGGTGAGATTGTGCAAATGTGAGGACCAAGAAGCCAACACAATGCACAAAAAGGGAGGGCAGTGGAAAGGCATTGAGGACAGAGAATCCACCTCATCTCCTCTGAACACAGGGCCACTAGGTTTGGGTCTTCTTCCCAACAGCCCTAGGGATGTGCAGTATGTGCAGGTAGGCTCACAGGCACTCGTTATTTTCCTTTTAAGACTGGTTCAAAGAGCTCATGAGACTGGAAGGAGAAGTTTCTCCCTCTACCTGGGGTTATGTCAGCTGAATGCTGTTAGTGATTGTAGTTCCTCTTTCTACACTGTGGGAACACTCAAATCGCAATTCCCATTTTCCTAGGGGTCCTCTTGTTTGGGAGTATTGTGAATTGATCAAATATTCAAATTCTAAATTGACTCTTATTCCTGTTTTCTACAGCCTCAGCCGCTGCTTGCTCAACAGTTCAGCTTCTCTCCTCTCCACAGCCTAGGAGCTGGGTTTGTTGGTTCCCTGCACTCCACAGGAGGCCAGCTTAGGAGAGCGCAGCCTGGTTGTCAAGGCAAAGAGTGTGTTTAACAGCAAGCATGAGCTCCGGCGACCAAAGTCACAGGCACCCAGGTGATCACCCTTCCCGGTCCTTTTGGGCAGGTGATCAGTGAGTGCCTGGGTATCAGGGATCATTTGGCTTCTCTTTTGCAGTTCTATTCTTGCAACATTTTAGGCAAAACAGAATCCTTAGTCTGTGCCTCTGTTTCTATTGCTCTCTGTTCTCCCTCTTCTCCCCTTTTGCTCAGCACGTGTATTTGCTAATAGCTAGATGATCCCTTTGCACCTTCTTTCCTATAATTTTCTGCTTATCTGCAGGTCTGTCTAGCTTCATAGCTAAACCCGCTAATTGCCTACGCATAAGCTGTATCAATTAAATCACAGAAGGAAAACAAAAGAAAGGAAAGTCCTTATTCGCATCCTTAGTTTATATTCTACTTTGCAAACAACATCCGCAATATACACAGCCACAGTTTTCCTGTAAACATCTGATTGCCTCTGGCTAAGACAGTTGTTTGTAGTGGTTATACTAAGGTGTAGGCCTGGAGGTTTGAGAAGAAGTCATAATCTGAGAATTATACAGTTCTAATGTAATTATGTAAAAGCAATTCTAATTGCTTTCCGTGTAAACTGAGAAAGTAACGTTTCATCTTCTGATGTCATTAAATGCATGCCCTTAAAGAATTTGTACAGCTTATTTCTTGCCATTTATTATCACTACTTGAACTGTCATGAAGATCTGATGATGTTCTATAACAATATCACTCAACAGTGTACATTTTTTCCTATTAGGAATGATTTGCCAGGTTTCAGGTACTTCTGAGTATCTGCTGTTACAATTTGAAAAGTAGAGGATTTCAGGAACTGGTGATGCTTGTTTGGCTTCATGTCAGTTGCCTTCATGTACAATTAATGTTGCACCATCACCCAATCATGGAATTATCCGGTTTTGGTTGTTTCCATTTTTTGCTGTCTGTGGTTTTGCTACCAAGGCAAATATCAGTGAAGCACATTTACAGTCACGTAGGTCAGGAAACCCCTTTGCTCAGTGCAGGGTGCACCGGTACCCCTTAGGGGCACCAAGAGTAGATGTGAGCATGTGTTTGTCCAGCAGCATCAGATTGGTTGAAGTCCTCGCACAGCGGAGTACTCTTTGTACTACATTTTATCCTTTTTGTGCTTGGAACAAGGGAAACTTGCTGTCATTTAAACGGTCAGCCTTTACCTTATGCAGTAAGGTGTCTCTACGTTTTACAATTTTTGTTTGGACTGAGTTTTTTGTTTTGTTTTGTTTTCTTTGCATGCACTGCTTAGCTAGGCTTTTAAATTTAGCAAGCAAGGTTGTGAAACTTATATGCAGTATTTTGCAAATCATGTATTGTCAGAAAATATGCATGAGCACGTTTCTTGCTGTGTTGAAGAAATTCTTGTGGCATGTGAGTGTCTAACCAGTCCTTGTCACACTCTCGGAGGGTCTCAGCATCTGCCCGTTTCTGCATTGGTATGGGAAGGAAAAGCATTATGTTCCTTGATGACTCTGCTTTGAGCAGTGGAGTTGGACAAATGATCTCCAGAGGTGCCTTCCAACCCCAGCCCTTCTGTGGTTCTGTGACTAGATGGGCCCTGATCTGAGGCCTGGAGAGCAACATGGATGAAAGGGCTGGGAATAGCTTCAGGTGCTTTCCAAAGAGCTTCCCCAGTGTTGGCATCTTATGAGTCTGTCCGTAGTACTGCGGTACTTGGAAGGACTTGGGCAGGGGAGAGGGGCTGGGGAAACTACAGAGCAATAGGCCTGACATTTGTTGTAGGCAACTGAGTAGAAACTGCACTAAACCCTAAACTTAGTGGCTGTATGGATAAAGGCGGTATTTTATGAACGTGTTAACATGTCTTCTGTAAGGGAAGGTCAGCTGCCATCAAGCACAGGGACAAGGGGGAACTCTATCATAAAATGAGGGACACTTCAATTTGGCAAAGTCATTCAATGAAGTATCTGGCATAAGAGGGCGTACTCCCAAACAAATGAGTAAATTAATTGGTTGAAAGAGTGTATGTTCAAAGCAGCATTCAGAACAGAAGTCTTGGGGTGGGAAGAGGCAGGTCTATGAAACTCTCAGCTCAGTTCTCGTGGCAGCCACCCAAGCCGTGTGAGCACTGGGAATGCTTAGCAAAGGAGTAGAAAACAAAACAGCAACCAGTTTCCTGCCACAGTATAAAGCTTAATGTGTAGTGATAATGGAGTTTCAATTTCCTTCTTCTTTTGTTTTTCTTTTTTTTTTCTGATTCATTTCTAATTAGATGGGTTCTTCACAGCACAGCTGCATGACCCTTATATCGGCCACTGTTAGTTGAATGTATGTCGTCACATCCTCCTTGATCTGCTTGTTTTCTCCATGTGTTCAGACTCCATTTTTCACAATTTCTTTTCAGAAAAAGGAAGTGCCAGACCATAGAGTTATAGGTGCTCTCAGAGACACTATCCTCTTGAAAATCTTGTCCAGCTGAGCAGTGACCTCTGTGGTGTCTTGAAAGCAGGGACAGGTGAGTAGTATTTGCAGTTTCTGTGCAATGGCACTTGCAATTTCAGAGGAAGGTAGAGCGCCAGATTTCCTGTGTTTGTTTTGTGAAATAAGCGGACTGGCTAATGCAGCATCTAAACTGTCCTCTTATCCGCTACAAAGGCAGAAATGTATTTCTAAATATATAGAAGTGCGATTGTAGCAGAAGTTCCTCCTCTTACTAAAAATATGCATGTAACCTTGAAGCTTGCTCACTGTTAGATTAGAGCTGCGCTTTCCTGCCTTCTCTACAGCAAAGGCTCTGTCCCCTCAAGCCTGTACCTGCTTTCTCTTCTACAGCTTACCAAGCTAAAAACGATTTTCAGGATTCAACCAGCAGTGGCATGGAGGGAGGGGAAAATGGGTACGTAAAAAGCAGAGTGGGGTTTTTTTGCTGCCTGTAACACTTACAGCACATGCTGGCATTTCTCTGCAGGAGAAGAAAAAGTTCTGGGGATCCAGAGCTGATGATTTGTATCTCGGCTGCCTCTCCTCTGTCCCCCAAACCCCAGTGCCTAGTGGAGAGCGGTGGCTCTGTGCTGTTGCATTTGGAAACCTCCCAGTGCAGCTGACAAGTCATTTTCTGGCTACATGGGGAGTTTAGTATGTGACCCAGTCACAGTTACCAGGGGTGAATGACACATGGGATTGTGCCAGCTGGGTTCTCTGTCCTGTTCCCTGTCTGTTTGGTTACAGCTGTTTGATTAAAGCTTTTGCTGTTTCCTGAAGCTCTCTGTTCTGGAGCATGGGGATTTGGATTTGGAGATGAAGCAGAGGGAGGCAGGAGGAATCATAGAATCATTTAGGTTGGAAAAGACCTTTAAAATCATTGGGTCCAACCATAAATCTGACACTATCACATCCACCACTAAACCATGTCCCTAAGTGCCACATCTACGTGTCTTTTAAATACCTCCAAGGATGGTGGCTCAACCACTTCCCTGGACAGCCTGTTCCAATGCTTTGCAACCCTTTTAGTGCATAAATTTTTCCTAATATCCAATCTAAACCTGCCCTGGCACAACTTGAGGCCGTTTCCTCTTATCCTAAATGCCACAATCCTCCTCGCTGCTTCTTCATGTGCTTTTGCGCATTGACCTTTGGGGTGCCAGTGGTGGGCCAAGGAGGTGCTGATTCTGCTGTCCTTCACTTTAAGGGGAGGCAAGGGCAGAAATGCTGATGCTAATGCTGAGAATGTAGCTAGAATGACTTCTCTTTTTGTTGCTGCTTTGTTAATAATCTTTTCCTCTCCATCCCTCCCTTTTGCAGGAGGAAGAGAGGAAGTAAGGGTAGGGTGGAGGGGGGATTGCATATCCATCACCAGGTGATTCTACTGGCAGAGCTTGAGCAGGTCACAGCCAGCGTGGCCTTTGCATCCTGAGTTGGTGACAGTTGGGTTAGCCAGCACCATCTACCAGAGGAGGTAGAAGTGAGGACTTGCAGGGGAGCAGGATTGGGAAGCAGCCTTGAAACTCTCATTACCTAGGCAGTTCTTGTCCTCATTATCTGCATCTGCCTCCAAAGCTGCCTTGTATCAATTCCCTTCCCACTGTCCCTCCATTTCGCTATGCTACAGTGCCATGAAAAATGAGCCAGGCTCTCTGCAGGGGTGAGTGGTTGATGTTGAAAGGCAGCAACTGCTGGTTCAACAGCCTGGGAGATGAGGCTTCTTAATAGGAACTGATGACGGCACTGGGATTTTAGTATTGTGTTTGGTTTTGGGGAAGGACAGGTTGTGTATCAGGAGAAAAACCTCTCATAATCAGAAAAAGCTATCATCAGGGCATCAGTTCCACACAATGTCTGTAGACAGAGGTCCAGGAATATTCATAAGGAGCATTCCTATTTCCTTGTCCTAGGGTTTTTTGCATATATGTCTCATATCCAGAGTGACCTCAAATTCTAGAAGATGATAGATAAGGTCTCTAATGCTGTTCCCAGAGTTTGTTGTGCACCACTATGAAGGCATGCCATTTGTGTGTCAAATGCTGTATATCCTTCCAAGTGGCAAGCACAGCTTACGTGGACAATATACATGGACAGAACTGAGGATCAGGTCTTGGTTTGTGATATGCAGAATGGAGAAACCTGTACTTATTTTGTGTTTTGAAAGAGGGATCCGAAGATGGGCAGTAGTTTCTGATGTAGGGATCTGAAGGCCCTGGGACAATACAGAGAAGCCAGGAGACAGTTTCAGCAGTGACCAAAAGGCCTAATTTAAGCATGCTGCCCTGAGGTGAAGGAAGGAGAGTTCTGCTCTGCTGGGGCACTGTCCCAAGGCTCGTGGCCTGCTGCCTTGCCTGTCAGTTTCTTTTTCTTCTTTCCTCCCCTTCAGATCACGACGGTTGTCTTGGGAGAACAGGCTCGGACGGGAGCGAGACTGCCCAGGATGTCCAGCTGCCTGCCAAAGCTGACCACGGTGCTGCTGAGCCACAGGCTCGGGGCTCTGTTTATCCTCACAATTTCGTTTGTGTTCTTTGCCTCTGTGATGTTCTACTGGAGAACTGGGGAGGATGCTGAGGGCCAGCTCTACAGCTTGCCTGCTGAAATCCGCTGTGCTCACTCTGTGCCTTCTCCTCCCCATCCCGCTGTCAGTGGGCCCCCTCCTTCCCCAAGGGATGTGTTTTTTGTGGAGACCTCGGAGCGAACTAACCCCAGTTACCTGTTCATGTGCTCCGTGGAGTCAGCGGCCCGGACGCACCCTGAGACAAGGGTCGTGGTGCTCATGAAAGGTTTGGCAAATGGCAACGCCTCGTTACCCAACAACTGGGCGTTCTCATTGCTGAGCTGCTTCCCCAACGTGGAAGTCCGGCCCCTGGACTTGACAGAGCTTTTCTCTGGCACACCTCTGGCAAACTGGTACTTGCAGGCTCAGCAGCGCTGGGAGCCTTATTTCTTACCCGTCCTGTCTGACGCCTGCAGAATTACCATCATGTGGAAATTTGGTGGCATCTACCTGGACACAGACTTCATTGTGCTTAAGAACTTAAAGAACCTCACCAATGTGCTTGGTATGCAGTCTCAGGATGTACTGAACGGAGCTTTTCTGTCCTTTGAACCCAAGCATGAGTTCATGCAGCTTTGCATGCAGGACTTTGTGGATAACTACAACGGCTGGATCTGGGCGCACCAGGGCCCAGAGCTCCTAACACGTGTCTTCAAGAAGTGGTGCCCCACCAGTAAAATCCAGAATCCTATGAGCTGCAAAGGCATGAATGTTCTTTCCACAGAAGCCTTTTATCCTATTCCCTGGGAGGACTGGAGGAAGTTATTTAAAGCAATCGGCTCCTCAGAGCTTCACGAGCTCCTTAAGAACACCTACGCGGTGCACGTATGGAACAAACTGAGCCATGGGACAAAGCTAGATATAACGTCCCAGGCTTTCCTGGCTCAGCTGTATTCTCAGTTCTGCCCTGCCACATATACGAAGATGAAGAAGGACTCCGAAGAGCAGTCAAGGCCTGCAATGTGACCTGTGGGCCCTTGGCTGCAGGGAAGTTCCATACCCTGAAGGAAACTGAGTGCCTTTCACCTTCCCCAGAGTTGGTTTCTAGCCCATGAAGCAGGTATTCTGTGTGACAGCTCAGTGATTTTGTACCATTTCTGATATCTGCCTCAGACCCTACATGCTTCAAATATACACCAGAACCTGAGTTCAGACTCTTGTTGTTCTTCAGTAGCCCTTGATGCTGCAGGGAAGGGTGAACTTGTTCATCGCTGCCTATCAGTTGCTCCCCTGTTGCTGTTCTCTCAATTGCTTCACCTGTGTATCAGGCCTGAAAAGCCTCTCGTGTAGTCTCAACAGCTGTAGGAACCCTTGCCTTGCTCTCTGTAATGTTTCTAAGTATGTAAATAAATGCCAGCCGGTACTATAGTACACAGCTTACTGGAGCTTAGGACCAAATTCCCTGGGTGGTAAAGATTCTTACAGCTGGTAAAGTATATGGGGAGTATAAGAAAATTGCTTTCAGAAGTGGAAAACATGTCAAATCTCTGCATGGCTCAGTGTAAAGTTTATCTTGGTTTCCAAAGGTACTTTATTTCAAATGATCTTTTCTACTGTTTTACATTCCGCAGCAATAGGCTGACTTTTCTGGCCTTCTTCAGGAAAACAAATAGACAAAAGCTGTTCTTTTACCAGTGTGAGTAAAGATCCTTGCTTTGTTGAAGAAATTCTTGTGGCATGTGAGTATCTAACCAGTCCTTGTCACACTCTCAGAAGGTCTCAGCATCTGCCCGTTTCTGCATTGGTATGAGAAGGAAGAGCATTATGTTCCTTTCATTGGAGTACTGAACACATTGTGGAAGAAGGACCAGTGACCATGTCCAGGACTAGGACCAGTGTCCCCAGTGACATCTTATTATTGTCACTGGGGATCTAGTCAGTGGATTATGTGGGGTCATTCATCTAACCCTACTGCAGATTACACAAGCAGATAAGTGATTGCAGGCATCACTGCCTGTAATGGGAACACAGGTGCCCATACCACAGACTTTTAAAGTTAGGTGAGATAAAGCTGACTGTGACTTCTTGCAAACCTGGGCAAAGCCAATGCAGTGATAGACCTGCTGTTGATCTGATGACCGTTCTCGCATCTGAATGTTTCCTCTGTGTCCAGGGCACTGTAATTGTAAAAATGCATTTGAAATTGACCTCTTATGAAATGAGGAATAGAGAAAAAGAATGTACTGTGGTCCTGCTTGTGCCAAATCAACGTTCCTGTCTGGAAGGCAAAGTGTAAGCAATGTGTGGTTATTGCTCTTTCAGATATGCAGTAGCTAACAAATAAGAGAAATATGTGTATCAATTTTCATATGGCCTTTTCCTAAATTCCATTATCTGCTGAAAAGTACAGTGTTGTCATGCACGAAGGAAGGCTGATGTAAGTTTGATCCAGCCTTTAATATGAGCAGCAGCACGTTTCAAGGTTTGTCAGATGCTGAGCCATGGCACACTGTTGATTAAACACTCCATTGCAGACCAAAAGCGAGTGAGTCATCAATTTTTACTCAGACTGAGCTGTGTAAAACAACACATCAACTTACTCTGCCGACCGGTCCCGTGTCCATCCCCTCACCCCAAAAAAACCCTTAAATTTTGCCTGATCGCTCTAACTACTAGCCTTCGCTACTGGTGCCAAGGAGTACTGGATATGCTGTTCCAATGTGGTGCCCATGACGGCAAACAACCACCTGTAGCTCATATTCCTCTATCTTCACTGTTTCACGTGTGACTCTTTCTTCAGCCAGCAGGAAAATGACGGTGTAAAGGGCAAATTCAAACTCTGGGCTGACACCAATAAAGGTGCTTCCAATTGGCTTGACTGAGCCCTTCCAGCTGAACTGGATGCTCAAAACTTGGTCATCTTTGTCAGGCTGAAAGCATAAACAAAACAACAGAATAATCTCCCAACACAGCTGTGACCAGACAGATACAATTTCCAACTCCAGGTTTTTGAGAGCAATGCAAGATTCAGTCATCCTTGCTGTGCCAGGGTGCTATAGCTGGAGCACAGCCTCTTCCCTGTCCTCTGGAGCATACATGATTTACCTCAATTATTGCAATTCCATAAACACCAGCACTATCTTTTTTAAATAGTTTGTGAAAAACTAAAAGCTGGACTTGAGGGCATGCTAGTATTTTTTCTGCTTACATACACCTGGTCAAATTAGGCTCTAAACAGCTGAGCCTATGATTACCTCATTGTGCCTTGATTTGTAACCACAACTTTTATCTCTGTATACATTTGTCTTATTTGCAGAGGCACCTGCTTGTTCTTACCCTGGTTTTGTTCTTCCGAGTGACATATCCCTTGTAGTCAATTTGGTTGCGCTTTTCCTGAAGGTAAAACTGCACCCAGTTGTGCAAACCTAAGATCTGTTTACCACGCCTTGTTTCTCCAACAAAAACATGTTCAAAACCACAAGAATCGGGTCTGTAATAAATGAAAGAATAATATATAGGTCTTTTATGTGTTTAAATAGTTCAAATTGGCAGAGGTAAAAGGCAAGAAGACGCACAAGCTTGCTTAGGTTGATTTGTGAGCAGTTTTTTTATTTGTCTGGATTTGTTGGGTTTTCTTTCTTACTTTGCACAAAATTCGCAGTGAAATCTAGCCATGAAGTCTAAATTTGTAACTGATGATGAAGGTTGCTAGTAAATGCCACAGAGGCTTCACTGCTGCTTATCCAGATTTTAGCAAGGCTTCTGACACTGTCTCCCATAACAGACTCATAGACAAACTGATGAAGCACAGATTAGAAAAGTGGATGATGTGGTGGGCTGAAAAGTGGATGAATGTCTGCGGTTGAAGGCTTGTGATTAGGGACACAAAGTGCAGCTGGAGGCAATTCACCAGTGGTGTAGCCCAAGGGTCAATACTGTTAGTATCTGATCAGTAAGCCTTTAAACACAATCTGTGTGGAAGCAATGAACACCTGATTTAGGCCATATTCAGAGGCTGTCTTCCAGTTCTGTGTGTAACAGATGGCACTTGGACTTATACTTACCAAAGTCACAATAGTGTAGAGATTATCAGGGGCCATATTCATCAAACATACCTGTCTCCTTCTTTCCTGGCATAGAGCTGGAACCAGATGTCATAGAGCTGATATTTGAAATCGGCAAGGTTTGGCTTTGCTAGTTTTTTTTTAAGCAGATATTCATGAGCTAGCTGAAGGATAGAAAACCAAGATGTATACACAGTTTACTTTTTAATTCAGCATTTTCAGCAACTAAAAAAGATCTGTGTTACTCACTTTCATGACTTCTGTTGCTAAGATAGCATCAAGAAAACAATTGTTTTCAGCTGTTTCTTCTGGAGTCACTACTTCTGCTACACCGGTTGATGCCTCATAGTTGTCCAATAAGGAAATAAAGGCTGCAGAAAAAGAGAAACTTGCAGTATGCTCATCCTGATGAACAAGCCATATGCCTAATCATACCTGTGATCCAGACATTAGAGAGTGCCATCATAAAAAGATGCCATATGACATGCCTTGACAGCCCTTAGAGAAAGCCATTCCTTTATATGTCAAATTTCATTCTCAGGTGCACTGTTGGGTGTAGGTCTAGAGGTGACTCAAGGCCAGACCACTGCTGTACTTCTTTTTAAGATAAAAAGCCCGCTACTAAGCTTCCTTACAGAACCAAGTGCTGAAGCAATAATGACCTTCTACCAAAACAAATCATATCTGACCACCAAAATTACAGACAGATGCTTATGAACTTGATCTGTGCTGGCAGAAGGCTTTGTGGGCATTACTTCAGTAGAGGAATAGTGCAGCATAAACCTACATGAGATGGCTTGAGTGCATAGCCACTGAGTGGATGGGTTCATTTTCTCCTTTGCACCCCTTTTGCCACCTGCCTCCTCCCGTCACTTCATCTACTCGTGCTCTGGCACTCAGTGGACTCTTGAGGGCTGATTCAGCACACCAGATTGACAGAAAAATACTTGAGGTCAAAAACCAAAGTAACTTCCTGCCAGGTTAGTGAGCTGAGGGGTCTCGGCGTGGGGTTCGGCGAGTACCAGAGCTGCCCTCGCCAGACACAGGATTGCGCGGCTCAGAGAGGACTGGGGGGAACAGAGGAAAGTAGTGCTCCCCATTATGCTGGCTGTTTGATCAGCTTGATGTAACTCTATCTGGGGAAAAGAAAAATCAGGGAAGGAAACATACATTCATACACATGCTTGAAGTATAGCTCCCAACAGAAATGCAAGAAGTAGCTGTGGACCTAGTGCTATCTGAAAGGGCTAGAAGCTGTGAGCAAAGAAGGAAAGATGACTTTGGCGTCTTTTTCAATACATAGAATAACATCAAAGCAATGACAGGAGCCTCATCCATTTCACTTTGTAGTGGAAGAACCACAGAGAAATTCAGATTTTGGCTAAGGCACAAAAGGATGTTCTTCTGGAGGCTGAGGGTATGGGTAATCTCCGTGCAAATGCTGTGGAAACTACCTTCAAATGACACGCGGCCTGATGATCCTCACCACCATCCAAATTATGTATGATGTTATATTTTAGGCAAACACATAAAACCCAACACAGATACTTCACGTCATTTCCACGATTAACAAAAGAATGGGTCTCACTTGCAAAAGTTTTTATGCTCTTCAAGCGTTCTTCATTTACGTTGTGAAACAGATGTCTGGCTGCGCTGTCCTGGACAGCACTGTCACCTTGCTGTGCGGCACCTGCTTTTCCCTAGGAGAAACACCAGAGAAAAACAATGAAAGAAGTAAGATGTCCTTAGAGGAGACAGTGCCTGCCTTTATAATAATCAAAACAAAACCCATAATGCCATCAGGATTCTTTGTTAGGAATGATCTTCCTATGAAACAAGAGAACATGTTACAGGAAAGACATAATCTCTGACACTGTAAGAGCCTGAAATTTCTCCATTGACTCATTTTCAGAGATGATTGTGATGACCCATGTGATAGCTCAGTTCTGATCAGTAACCAGCTGTGCTACTATGCTATATACATCACAAATGCTAAAGAGAAGTAATGTAGAGCCAAGGCTTCCTCCCACCACAAATAAATAAAAGGAGATTTGGGCACCTTCCTTCTCTGCTCATTTATAACTCAACAGACCCACTGCATACAGTTTATGAGGCCGTGCAGTGCAGCAGAGGGGTTGTTTCTGTCCTGAGTCCCTACTCCCCAAGCTAGCCAGTCTAATTCTCCTCTCCTCTGTAATAATGCTTAAACAACCCAACTCCTGAGTAGGCTCCCTCAGTCTCAGCCTTTGTTTTCTGACTTTGTGACCGCAGCCCCAGCCATCGCCCCAAGGCCAGGGAGATGCCAAGATAGTTCTGTGCACCTCCACCAGCTTTGGACTGGTGCATCGTGGTGCTCTGAAGTTTTCAAAGACCATATTGGTTGGCCATATTTAAGGGCATTTTTATCAATGTTACCAATAAGCACATCTAAAATAGAAAGGAGGCTTTCCTGACAATTTTCAAATTTCTGTTCCAAAAAGGGCATTCTCAAGGAAAGAGGAGAAAAGATGAGTAGCAGTTTGTTAACATGGGCAAGGGATAACTAGAGCCTTGCTCTGAGAAATGGAGAAACCATATGGGAGAAGTTTTCCCCACACACATTTTGGCCTGAGGTAGGTACCCCTTTTTCAAGTTTATCTGCAACAGAAAAATATATCTTATAATATGAAGCAGCGTTGGAATAAAGTGTTCGAGCACTTGTGTGAGTACAAAATTGGATACTGAATATTCAGTGACCTGCTGCAATTTGTGGCCAAAACACATGGTCACGTTTGCACTCCACTGAGCTGGCAAGGAGTGAAATGGCTGCTCATCAAATCTGATACCCACTCCTCCCTCACAGTTCCCTGGGACTGGTAGCAACAACCCTGAAACCCTCCTCACTTACACCTCTGTGCTACACCACACTCTCCAGGGGGGACCCAGGAATTCCTCAAATTCCTCCCTTATTGCCCCAAGAATGACTTGGGACCTGTCTCCCCTTCTCCCTCACTGCAAGTCACCCGGACCATACCCACAAGCAG